GAGCGACTAAACAATATTAATATAAAAATAATTATTAAAAGAAGAGAGCATAAAACACAATTTTTGGTGTTTCAAGTACCTGTCTTCTCTTCTCAATCTTTTCTTGTTCTGGAGTTCTCTCATACTGCCTTTGCTGCATCAGACCCTTAAAGGGAAATGGAATGTACATTGGTACAATTTTTCATGCCATTAAGACAGGTTTTCTTCTTCATGAAAGACGCTAAATATAAATTTACCCTACTACATTGCATTCTTCTGTGTATCTGGATTAATAATTGTCCATGATATAAAAGACCTTATCACCATCATTATTTAAAGAAAGGGCCACTTAAGCAAAAATCTGCAGTGACAATGTTCACTACGATAGAGTATTTGAGTGTGGAGAAAATCAGTTAATGTAAATCACATTACAGTGAGCACAATAGACTCATAGTGACAAGCAGTACTGGCATCCTTGTATGTTGACAATCAAGCTTACTACATACATTAATGTATCATGTAAAGTGGACACAGTATTGACCTCTCATCTGCAGCATTACCATTACCACTAAGAAAGTCAACCAACACTTAACTGTGTACTGATTACTAATAATGCTATTGGCATTCTACTGGTCAAAAGACAAGGCTTGAACTAGATACCTGTGCAAGAAGTTCCTTTGCTCTTCCACTAGACTGCACATCATGCAAAGCATTGTGGGCATCTTTGATCATGCCATGCCTAAAGGCACACAGGCCAAGTTGAACCATGGTTCTGTTGTACAGGATCTAACAAGAGATAATGCAGTTGGAATTACTTAGGTTTCTATTGAATATAACAATTAAATATCACAGCCCCATAAAAAGAAATGGCACACCATAATTTTTCTGCTGCTCAGTTTGAGCATTTAATAAAATACCGGTAACTTAATTTGAATAGTTCTTCTACCACTTGTGATGTCATTGACTTTCAGCTTTGAAGCACAACTGTACAAAGAGAGATTTCACAACACATCCAAATTTTACTGAGAGATGCAGTCAAAACACAAAATTCTTGATACTGACTGGTGAATTTCAATGGACATTCCATTGGCAATTTCACATTCTAAGGAATTATTGCCAAATTTGTTCCTACAGGAAAGAAGCCTAGTTAAATCTTATAAAAAGGTTGGGGGATCAGGAAGAGAAATGAAATGAATGGACAGAAAAAAAAAAGCAAACAAACAAAAACATTGATCAAGCTTGCTCTATGTTTTTTCTCAAAATGCTAAATTTTTGTATCTAGTATGCTAAAACCCACATGGCAGCATTTTTGCAGCAGGAAGAAAAGCATTACTGTTTCTCTTGAATTTAACTTCATTTGCATGCAGTTTAGGACAATTTGGGTTCTTTTTGTCTAAATGTTTCCCAAAACTGGTTTGAATAGCCTCAAACCCTGTTTCTTTTCAAGCAAAAGGTTCAGATGCAAATGGATTCAGTCTTTGAGCTTCAGAGCTTATTACATACTAGTGTAATGTATGCTTCTCTACTAAGGCTACAGATATGTGAGAGATCTGTGGCCAACTCTCTTGAAACATGCAACAGTTTGACAACTAGGTAACCTCAACACAAGATTAGCCAGTGCCATTTGCTCTGCTGCTTTATCTACCACATGTATCACACTAAGCTCAGAACTACACAAACTGAGCTTTTTAGAAACATGTGGACATATTATACCTCTGCCTTAGAAAAAGTTTATCCATTCTTATAATAGAATGTAAAACCTTTATTAAAAGGGCAGCAGTAAAAATGTTAGCTATTCCTGATTATAGTTTGTTCAAGCCAAGTAGGGTAAAGACAAAAGCATAAAAGGCTTTATAGACCTTTTTCATAATCGCAGCCAATTAACAAATTCTTTTCTATGTATGCTAATTGGCCTTTCTGACGTCGTTTGAAAGTAAGAATTCTTTTGTATTTTGCAAATGCTAACGAGGACGTCAGAAAGGCTAATTATCATACATATTAAAGAATACATTAATAGGCCGCCATTATGAAAGAGGTTTATCGGGCAAACACTATAGAGTGTTTTCATTCACATGGCCAGCAATCTACAGATGCAAATTTATTGGAACAAAAGAAAGGGTTTGCATAAGAAAAGAATTCAACTCCCAGAGGATTGGTTTGGGACACCAACATGGCCGCCGTTTCATTGTTTTGGGACGCCAATATGGCCGCCGTGATGTCATGTGAAAACACTCTATAACTGCTATGCTTACAGGTTTACAATGGGTTTTAGATGTAGAGCTCTCTGTTTGGTCAGATAGCTCAGTGGATTTGCTTTAAAGAAAGGGTTACAAACTGTGGGGTTACATTGAAACATTTACATTTGGCTCAATCAACTGACTGTTAGTTGATGTGAGATAACTGGCCTCAAGAAACATACACCTAATTGCAATAGCATTGTCTTAGAAAAATTAAAAAAGGAAAAAGCCAGATTGAGATTAATTAGGCTAATCAAGCCTCATTCTCAGCGTGGATTCATTTACAGCCATTGGATTTCCCTGCTGGAAATTTTTTATCGTTTTTCAGCTTCAAAACAATAGCAAATTCCAACAGGTAAATACAGCGTCCATGTGCGGATGCTGCAAAAGAATTCACTAGGCTTTTTAGCCTAATTAATTGCTATTTAGCTTTTTCCTTTTTCATTTTTCTATGACAACGTTTTTGCAATTGGGTGTATCTACAAACTGACATTATGTTTAACTGCATACTCTTTCTTACAATTCCTTTAGGCTAGCCAATTTTCCTACGCAAAAATATTACTGCAATACGTTTCTCCATTAACACTTATCACTGATCATGTAGAAGGTAGTGGCAGAAGATAAGCCTTTCTATTCTATTTCTATCATTTCCACATAATTATAAGCAAAACAGACAAGATGCCAAGCAAACCTGTGTTGGGATATCAGAATGTTGTATAGTTTCCTGAAGATGTGACATCAGCATCAGATCGCGTGCCTCAAACCAGCGATCATGTAAAGCATAATGATATACATGGCAAAGCATGGCTCTGGTTCGAATGCGGTCAGATGTATCGCGTGAGTATATGAACTTGCACATTTGATCAACCTTCTCTGATGACCTTTGACTTTCTTGCTTTTCTTTAAGTTCACTTTTCTCTGTACACTTTTCTTCACCATCTACTATCATTTAAAGGAAAGAAAATCAATCAATTGATCAATCAACCATTCCACTGGTGCACAATAGTAAGGAATATCAGTAAACTAGTATTTTGTACTATACATGTATGATGGAAGAGGACTAAGCCAAGACACAAGTTGGTAGCAGTACTTCAATCCACTAAACTGTGGGAATGGAGTCAAATTTGAACACCACTATAATACCTGCTTTTGCTACATGTATTAAATCCTTAAATTCCTGAGGAATCAACTTTGGAAATGCCTCAAGTGTCATAGTTTGGCTCTTCATCAAGCATTTTCCTTACCAAATGGGAATTTGGAAGACGTTAGTTTTAAAGAAGCAAAAACCAGAGTGACCAGAGAGAAACCTCCTGGACAGGGGATGATTTCCAACAACAAACTGAATACCCACATTGAGGCCTAGCCTCTGGGATTCAAACCCAGGCCATAAAGAAGAAGTATCTTTTAGCAATAATCACTTCTTATGTGATCACACTACTGCAATTAATACCAATAGATACTAACCAGCAGATTCTTTTTCTTTCTCTTCCTTTGTATCAGAGTCAACCTTAAACAAAAACAATCATTATTCTCGACAGTTTCTTTCAACAGAGTCCATTCACTCACAAGGTTTCAGAGCCACTGACTTGCCCCTCTAAAGGGATCAATTTTGTCCATTGATATTCCAAGATTCAAGTTTGAGCTTGCCTATTGTTTTGATAGGTGGGGTGGGTCTGACACTGGATTTCCAGGGTAACCTTATTTTTCTTCTTGTAAGTTATTGCTTTGTACTAAAATATGACTTCTGTAACTTAGTAAAAATTGAGATGAATGGAAAAAATAACATAGGTTGAAGGTAAAAAGTCCCTGTGTACTAAACTACTCTTCATGTATTAAATACAAGGGTTGTTTGCTGTAGGGGTTTCCTGAAATCAAATACTGTAATAATTATGTCTTTTTTAACAAATTAAGGTGTCTTAATATTTATTAAACACATTGTTATTTACCTTGTAGTACAGATGCTCAATATGTCGCAAATACACTCTGCAAATTTCGGATCTTGAGCCATTTAACTCCACGTACCCTTGTAACTTAGTAATGATAGCACAAACTTTTTCTTCATCTCTCAATCTAAAATGATCAAAGTGAAAAAAAAAATGAATACATACACAGGGATGTAGCTAAGGAAATACTGAGAAGGCTTTTTTCTATCAGTATCAGTCAAGCTGGCCATTTCACTCAACTGCACCTTCAAAAATTCCCATATGTCTTTGTTTTCCAGAGCAATTTGAGACAGTGGTAAGCTATTTTACAGCCGGTGACATCCCTGCATACAGCAAACACATCTGTAGCATCAGTCCAGAATGATTAATTTAAGCCCTCCCCCCCCCCCCTCCCCACACACACCCAGACCTCTTCTTCACCCAGGCCTCTTCACAAAAATTGGGAAGAGGGGAGGGGTGAAAAAGTGACGTTGCAAGCTCTCCTTTTTGCTCTATCCAGCCTCTTTTAAATAATAAGCAATTATTGGGCAAGGTCACAATATTTTGCCAACTATTTCAAGCAATGGTATGTACCTTGTGACATATTCAGTGGAATGGCAATCACAGCCTTGAAGCATCTTTGTAAACTCATCATCCATACGTTCTACAATGACCAGAGGACACCCTCGCACTTTGATTGGTTGATCTGCATTCTAATTTTGAAAGGACAAAAATAAAAATATATACATCTTATCAGCAACAGTCCAAGCTTAACAATACAAAGCACAAAGGACTGATACACATGTAGGTATCCCAAAAATTGTGCTACAGAAAAGTGGACGATACAGTGCAGTTTATGTGACATAAGACTCTGGTGGTTTGAGCTTTTTTTGTGTAGCATTTTTGCTACAAGGTTTCATTCAGCCAGTTTTTCTTCTCCCGCTCCCTTCCAGTTTGTTTCTTTTCCACTGATATTTTCAGTGTGACAGACAGGTGCCTGTTTCTTTTTTTCCCCTTTTTTGTGGTGGCTTTTGTGAGTTGCGCAGTTGTGCCAGATATGAGGGTGTTTTTTGATCTAAGGGATGGCTGCTCCTAAATACTACAGTAACACAGTTGTTCAACTTACTTCTACATTCTCAGATTCTTCAGAGATGTTTTCACCCACAGTCAACTGATCTTGATTTTCAATCAGGATGTCCAACAATTCCTCAATTTGATTCAAACACCTGTGATAGAAAATGACAAGTTGATAATAATACTACTAGCCTGGAGTAAATAATGCCCAGGTAAAGTGGAGCCTAGATATGATGAACCTCGACATATTGAAGGCCTTGGTGTAACAAATGAATTCCCTAACCCCAGTAATAGTAATAATTTTAAGAAAACAGAACCTGGATATTTAAAAACCTTGTTATGGTGAACAAATTTTGCCAGTCCCTTGGTCAAATTGAGGTTTCCACTGTACAAGTGTAGATGTAACTAACAATACACATCATGGGGGGGGGATAGAGGTCCTTTGTCTGGAGACATTCCATCACTAGAACGTTGTACTCCATTCATAGTTTATTTCTATAGCTTTCAAACATTCATCACATCTTTTACACATTTCACCCTACACCTTCTTTGCATATACATAGCACTTGCGGGATATTTTCTCATCCCCAATGATGCCGTTGATCAGCAAAAGATGGATTTTGGATTCTACTTTTTTTAAACAGCAGTTTAATGCCTCAGTAGAACAGTTTTATATTTTTAATTATGCTGCTGAAGGACAACATGAACAGATTAACTGTAAGAGGAGAACAAGGAAAGACTAATGGAGCCCAGGAAAGTTGCTTCTACTCACTCTTGCCACATCTCTGCTTTCATACAGGTTGCCACATTAGGATTGTAGTCAAAGATCGATGAAATGATATTGAAAAGCAGTTTCACTGTCATACCAGCACCTAAAAAGATGAACACCAAAATATGAATCTGACTTCTCTTGTTGTGCATTTATCGAAGTCCCTATAACTTTTTGGGCCTGGAAAGCTGCTTTATGTTTGCCTCGCTGGCATTCAAGATCAAAGTTTCAATAATTTTCAAAATAATACAATGAAACTATCAGTTTAAAACCAAGAAAAATTGACCGGTGTGTGAACTACAGAACTATGCTACAATAAAAAAAATAATTACCGGGCCTTTTGAGAAACAGGCCCCTGCTCACAAAATGCCAGAATGCCAGAGTAATTGAGGAGTTACTCGTGCAAGGGTTAATCCCTTCTTTGTGGAAAAGAAGCTGTTTTTGCAGAGTGGTAACTTAAATGAAACTAACACATCTGCCAAGAGTCTACCTACCCAGCTTTGCATTGTCTGAAATCACCCTCAGTTGCTTAAGGAAATCTATCTGGTCTGTACGATCTGTACCCTGATAAAAAACAAATTTAATAATGGTACATGCACTCTTAATGACTTACAAGCAGAATAGGTAAAGCTTTTCAGTGTAAAGAGTTCTGAAATCATTAAGGGATGGTAAACAATGTAAGAAATGATTATTGGCTTGGGATACCAGAGACCAATAATGACCAATGCCAAACATCAATGTGATGGTGTTGAAAGGGTATGCAAATAATGAAGAAACATCACCGCTTGGTCTTATAGGACAATCAATGGAGTGAGATGCCAGTAATTGTTAAGAACTGTACTATTCAGGTATTAAAACACTCAATCAGTCAACCATTATTAAAAATAGTTATGACAATCTAATCCATGTAGGAATATCTCAATGAACATTGCTTCTAGAATGGAAGAGGTAAGAAATGGAACAAAAAGAAAAAAAAAACACTAACCTTTTTGCCCCTGGCAGCCAGAATCTCATGCAGTTTTTTCAGCACAACTTCATGAGTAATTTCTGTATCCTTTGGGAAGAGCTGCTTGGCTTTTTCCTAATTAAAGCATCAGGCAAATACAGAAAGGTATAACTTTTATAAGAACCCATGTTAAGAATAACACTGCAAAGAGGGAAGTCATTTTACTTACAGTAGAAGAAGAACCTTTCACTTCAGTCCAGCCACCACCATCATCGGCGATATCCTTGACTTTCACTTTAGTGGTCTTTTTTTCTTTGACTTTTTTCTTTTGTCTCACTTTTTCATCACCAGTTTTCTCCCTTTGTTGAAAAAAATGTAAAAAAATAAGAAAAAAGAGTAGGTCACTTTAAGTGCTATACTGAAACTGCCACCGTTAAGCCCTGGACTTATAAATCTTCATAAGGAGCTTTAGGAGGGTTTATGATGGAGGGGCTTTTATTCAAGGGGGCTTAAAAACAGAAAAGAAAAATCTCATCCCATCCCATTCCCACTTCAATAGGGCCATTTATGCAGGGAGGGGCATGTCATTTCAGGTCTTCTGCTGACAGATTTGGAAACTGGTTTGAAACAAACACAAACTTATTGCCTGGAGCTATTGGCCCTATATCTTCTCGGAATGACTATCTAAATACAGTATTTGATGATGTAGTTAACCTGTGAGGGAGCTGCAAAACAATGCCCTCCCACAGTCCCCACAGGAAAATTTTTGTCTTGTTGCCTATCCGCTGAGTACACGCTTTTTTTTTTGACAGGAGGGGACGGGTCATTTCCTGGAACGAAAACAACATTCATGCTGGGAGTTTTTTTTCTAACGATAACAACGAGAAATAAAGAAAATATTTGATCATATAGTAAGCCTAAAGAAACTTATTGCCTTAGGCGGCCCTCCCACTGGAAAAGTTTCTTAATAAAAACAACAGCAGTAGTAGTTTACACTAATTATTCAACAACTGAGCCGACATATATTATTAATGCTATTTTGGAAAAGTACGCATATATTTGTGGCAAATCTCTTCAAGCGCAATTTTTGTAACCATTGATTACTGCTGCATTCATGCTCATCTCCCTACTTTATTGAAGTGTCTGAGGCTTTTCATGTGCGGTTTCTGGTTTCAGTCAAGTCTTCATCGTTACTACTCAATCGCTGCATGCAAGAAAAAACCTCTGACAAATGCCCCCCCCCGGGGCATTTGTCACAATAGGTTCCCCTATCTTCTCCCTAAAATCTTCTTCAGAGATCTTCAGAGGCTGTGGTTATGCTTTTGCTGGCTAATGTTCTGTAGGAGCAGCAATATTCGAACAGACTGTGAAGGCATTTTATATCTCTACTTTCTTTACTAGACTGACAAGAAACTAGAACTGGAATTAGACTAGAATTTTTAAAATGGGGGACAATTTTCGCCTCCACACAGACCCTCTTTTGACTTGTCACACAATCAGGAAGGAATGCTTGACAAAGCCCTAAGAACATGTGTGCGGTAGGCTAGGATAATTTTGGCACAGCATGACAAATTGTCAAGCAAGCTGGCAGACCAATGTACCCCTATTATGGGGGTCTTGTCTTTTAAACAGGGAAACCATAAGAAAAGAAAACAAACAATTAAGATAAAAAAATCAGGATTCAAAAAGAGGAATTGAATAACTAAAACATGACATTTGTAGGAGGAAAACAACACACAAAAACACAAAATTGTATGAAACAAACAAAGTATCACTGCCAAGAAATATATTTCTGACATTAACGACATTTGTTTCAGAATTTCTGTTGCATACTAACATCCCCCCTGAAAGACAAAGTTATACTCTTGCAGGGTCTACATGTATGCTACAGCCTACAGCCAAAATTAGATTCAAGTCCTACACTTATCTTAATCCTATCTCTAATATCTACAATTAGTGACAAACCTGTTGAGACATTGTACTCTTATAGGGTAACTACAGGGACAAAAAGAATCCACACCCCTCCCCTGTTCCTTCCTTTCAAAGTCGGGGCATTTGTTATTTTCTATAGGTAACTCAAACAGTGGCACAACATTGCATGGAGGGGATGGGGGAGGAAAACCTTTATTTTCCCTTCTGGAAGTCAGTAAAGCATCAGAATGACCCTTCTGGGCCAAATGTCTCAACCAATTTTGTCGCCCATTGTAGTTAAAAATCTCCTAAAGAGTTTAACCTTACTTACTAGGTAAAAAATACTATACTGGGTTTAGTAAAACAGTAATGCTGATTTCCAGAGAGGAGACAGGCTTACTTTTTAAGAAACATCCAGGCTTTGAGTTGCTGGGGACCACCTTCACCACCAATATCACTATCACTTGAAGATGACTCAGTATCGCTGCTCTCCCAGTCAATACTGTCATCATCATCATCATCGTCGTCTGCAACCTAAAAAAGTTCCAATAACAACATTGGATGGACTAGTCCTCTTCAATATTTTTGTAGCTGCAGTAGGAAGGAAGAGTGAACAACTATAGGCAACACATCACAAAAAGTGAATCTATAGGTTAGGCAAGGTTGCCAAAGCTGTTAAGAGACAAATCTAGCATATTCTCTCCCCAAAACCAATGAGAACTTCTAATGTAGTACTAATTTTTGTAGCCTGTGTCGCAGACCTAATCTAATCCTGGTTAGTGATCCGTGAAGAAGCGCCAACATCCTTGTTCTGGGCCCCAACAGACTCAACAAATTACCAAAAATGCATTTTGAATTTCTCTTCAACCTGATTCGCAAATCAACAAAAGGTTTTTTAACAGGCCAATCATGGAACATACTCAAATCTGGGTACACAGGTAGAGACCCAGAACAAGGATTTTGGTGCGGTTTCGCAGATGGACTAACCAGAAGTTTAGTTCCTGCAGTGGTGCAGGCTATAATTTTCGATGCTGTGTTTGACATGTTGAGATGTAAACACTTATAACTACTTATGAGTAAGCGTACTTACATCAGTTGGCTTAGGAGCTTTGCTTTTATCTGTTGAAATCTTCTTTCTTGACAGGTCACTGGGTCTCCTAAGATCATCATCGTCATCATCATCATCATTGTCATCATCTAAAAGAGTAATTTAAATTAAGATCAAAACATATGACAATCACTTTAATAAAGGCAGCGTGCAAAGAAAGTCGTGTCCGATAGCCCAGGGCTAGTGGATTTTGCTATCGGGCTAGTGATTTTTGTTCTTAACTTGCCCGACAGGCTAGTGCTGTTTTTTGGAGAAATTCAAATTACAGAAGGATTGTAGTCAATCCTGCTAATCAAAAAGGGTTTGGGGGCTAGTTGAAATGACTTGTGCACTAGTGCTTGCTAGCTACAGCTTGCCTAAATGGCAGGCTGTAAAACTGACTTTTTTTGCACACTGAAAGGCCTTTTCCTGTTAGACCTACTGGTGTTTAAAGCCACACAATATAGCATGAACTTTTTGTGCTTCCTGGCTTAAAGCCAGTAAAGCATTATGTCAGAGTCCCTGCTACAGTGTCTGTCCGTGTGTCCGTCTGTATGCCTGTCTGTCCGTATGTCTGTCCATAAGGTCATTTCTATCCCTTTTGTGCGTGCGCTAATGCGTAACCTTAAAATCAAAGTATAAATTCTCATTTGTTGCCTCAATACATTTCCTACACAAGCAGTTGTTACAGTATTGATTTAATTCATGAACGTCTACTTTATTCTTGTGATCACTCTGTTTTATAAAGCGTTGTTATGACAAGGAGGAATTTCATGCTGATTGTTCTCTGGGCTTTTCAAAAATGTTAAACAGGATATTTAATATGGTCAGTTATTCTAAAAATGTATGGAAACAACATGGCTAGATTTTGTGTTTGCTATTCCAAAAAGACCTGCTTTTAAACTCCTCTGAGAATATATGAGGCTAAATGTAATAATAAGGCGAAGTTAAACTCAAAACAACGTTGGTAGCAGCTCGCATTCTGTGGGAGAAGCCCAGGTAAGTTGAAGGGCTTGAGGACTTTACAAATCAAGTTGCTAAGATTGATTGTGCGATTAACTGTTTCGCATCTAAGTTACTTGTTTATTTCTTCCCCATTCCTCCCCCCCCCACCCCACTCAAGTATTAAGGTTTGTACTGTGTTTAATATTTGGTCACTGTGATGGTGCTGGTGGTGGTTGCTGCACACTGGCTGCCATGGATACATTATATTTGTCTCTTACAATCCACTAGAGCATCTACTGTACCCCCAACCTCATCTACTGTTGATTGATGTAATTCATCTATAAAATGAATGATTATTTTACTAAAATCATGTTATTCACATTTCTCCAAAATCTCACCTGACTCTCCTTGGTCTGACTCCCCTGATGCTACAGGATTCTGTTATGAAAAAAAAAAAGTATAATCACAGACAACATAAATATTGAATTTCACCTTAATACAACACAGTGCAGTACATAACATACCGTAAAATTCCGAAAATAAGTCCTGGGGCTTATATTTTTTCAAAGACCCTTTTTGAGGGGCTTATTTTTGAAGGGGCTTATTTTCGCAGGGGCTTATCTACAGATGGAAAGTTGTGTTTCAAAATCGATTGGGCTAGCCTTATTGTTGGAAGTAAATTTACCATTTTTGCTTAGTTTTACTTTGTATTTGAGGGCAATTTTCCTAGTACAAGCCCCCAGGAGGCTCATATTTGGAGGGGCCATTTAACGGAGGGTTTTTTGCGTTACCGGATTACACATGGAGGGGCTTATTTTCAAAATTTTACAGTAGCTTTCTAAGAGTGATATGCCTAAAAGTGAGGTCAGATTGCAAATGGATAGAAGGTTGTGCTTATGTGTCTGTAATGAGGGTGTGGGAAAGTTATCTAATTGATAATGCTGCTATTTTTCAGGACAGTGGCAATAATTTTCAAAGCTTACCTCTCGATACTTCAAGATTTCTCCTTCAAAATCCTTATTGTATTTCCTCAACTTCTGTCTCAACGTAGCCAAAGCCTGTTTCAGGTGACAAGTCATGTTATGTTTAGAAAATCAATGAAGTAAAAAAAAATAGTTTTAGCAATATTTCCATTAAAAGGAACTGGGGCAGGAATGGTCAGGGCACAGCCATATCTTAACGAAACCTCTTAAGGTGGAGGGAAGAATACTTTAAGGTAGTGTTGCAAAACAGTACAATTTCATTCTATAATAAAGCCGCCAAATTAAAAACCACTACATAAAAATGAAAGGCTTGTTAGAATCTTGATCTTCAAGCTGAAGGTATAAGTTGTACTGCACACACTCACCCTGGCATTTATTTTGGTCAGCTTCTTACGACCTTCAGTATCCTCCCAGTTCTGGTGAAAAAATCAAACAGAAATACTAATTTTCATTCCAACTGAAAACACTAATAACATTGTTGTTGTTGGAATTTTTTTTTAAATTAAAATTAATAAAACAATAAAACCTCCAACAATCCATGCATGCTGCAAATAAACCAACCCTTAAATATTATTTTTTTATACAAAATAAACAATGTTAACATTTTAACTTGAAAATCACCTAAGTCACAGTTAGGGATTGCAGGGATTTGAGATTAAACCACTGTAATGTTGTTGAGGTGTACAGTACTTCATACCAAGTTCCTAAAATTATGATTAACCCATACAGATGTACCAAGAAAATTATACTCTGGGCCCAGTTGTTCAAAGGCTTATTGTCACTAACCCTGAATCTCTGTTCCTGTTTTTTGTTCATAAGCTTTTTTTCCCTGTTCACTTTGACTATAGTCATTTACATGTAAGAGCACCTGAACATCAAATTGAAGGCAAAAATCAACAGGAATGTGCTTTGAAATTTAGGGTAACTTTGTGTCAATTTTGCTTGAAAATGATAACTTCAAAATTAATTCTGTCTTCCACATTTGATCATGAACACTAATAAATATGTACAGCTGTAACTTTTCTGGTAAAGCCACAAAAGTCACTGCTCTTACCATGTGAGAAATGGACCCTGTGAATGACCCTTACATGGGGGAAAGGGTTATTAAGCTTTGGAAGTTTTAATGGCATCATTTTTAGTTACATTACCTCTTTTACAAAATCTTCCAGCTCGGCCAAACCACGAATATAAAACTGTGGAATACCTTCCTTATCAACCACAGCTTTTGCTTTAGAAAATGCTTTTCCAAGATTCTCGAATTCTTCGAAAGAGAAAAGAACAAATAATTAATACTTCCATAAATATGATAGAATGACCACTAAAGGTGACATTTTTGGATAAATCTTGGTTCTTTGAACTTTTTACAATGTACTTCAGATGATGAATTCAGACTAACACTACAAATGTGCCTCAAGCTTAATTTCTTCCTTGTCAATTAGTATTCAAACAGCAGTGAATATGCTAGCTGTTTGTTTACAGGAAAAAGCACGTGAAATGGTGTCACTTGTCAGAAGGGGGCAACTGTCAGTTAAGGAGGCGTGAAAAGTGGCAAATCACCAGATCAAATATCCCATCGCAGTCTCACGGAGTCTATACCCATGGAAAGTGTGCTCTTCCACTCACTGGGAAGTGAACGAAGTGGAAAAAATGTTTCTTACGCATGGCTGGGAGTGGGGGTCAAAAGAACTACTATGAAATTTTCAAGGCAAAAAGATTTGCACCATAATATACTGAAAGTTTTATTATACATACAATCTATTTGGTGACTTTTCATATAGATGTATAAACCCTCTAGTAATACAACAATGGAAGTTGATAGATAATGACATTTAGGTTTATGCATGCATCTCACACAGAGATCACAACAACAACAGTATATGTACAGTGTACATTAAGTACTAACTCTAGTCTCGACAGTTCAACTCTGAAGCTTTCAACTGCATCTCACGGTCATGTGACTCATAAGTATTCAGTCACATTACAACAAGTGATGGTGGGCACTTCATGAGCTCCATCTCCACAGCCCAAAAGCTTCAATGCTATTATTTTTGTGGAGTTTTAGACTACACATACAGGTAGTATTCAACTCCAAGTTCAAGAATGAAACTCACAGTATTTTTCAACTGTTTATACTGGAAAAAAAAGCCACACAAACCTGTCAGGACTTTAGAAATATCCTTTATTTTTTTATGATTCTTCAGCTGTTTGATGGAGTTAGTTAACTCTTCAAATCTGCAATTCAATTTCAATGTGAGTCTTAACAAAAGCTGAGCTGTCATGACATAAATCATATTACTTGCACTCTGCACTCTGACAACATTTTAATGATTAAAAAATAATATAAATCAAACTAAGGATTAATAATAGAATAAAACTAATATGAAAAAGGAACACCTGTGTACAGTGGTGAAGAGAAATTTCATTTTGAACGTAATTATGTACGTGTTGTACACAAAATAAACCCCTTTTTTACAATCAAGAATTACAATGTAACTTTATTCATACCGTCAGTAAGAGAATTTATTTATTTATTACAGACAATTTTTCACATTTCCTACACTGTCATACCAACATATTCCTTTACCACGCCCATGAGGTGTCATAACTATTTTGTAGCACTAGTACCATTTCTTCCATCAACATAATTTATAACAAAACTATTTTCATGTATTTCTTATAAATTTACCTGGCCTAACTTAAACCATGAATGTTAAAAATGTTAAAAAAATCGAATGGGCTGTTACCGTTTATCCTTTTGGCTTCTTACAACCCTCTTGGTCTCTTCTTCATCATCACTGAAGACAAAGGCCCTGGAAAAAGAGTTAAAGCAAAAATTACAATTCCTGTTGAGCTTCCATAAACCATTACTCTGTTTATTAAAAGGTATGCATGCAAGGTTTACAAACTAATACATTATGTTTCCAAGCCAAAACCACTGAGAACTGCAACATAGTCAGCTTTCTCTAAGAAAAGTAACACTGGATCCACACTACAAAGTGTCCAATTACAGCTAGAGATAAAATCAGACAATAACACTGATCAAGAATGGCGGCAGGGACTGAGAAGAAGAAGAAGAAGAAGAAGAAGAAGAAGAAGAAGTTGAGACCCAAGTCAAATTTAGAAGGATTTGTATGGAGTCATCAGAGCATAAATGGGTTAATATCTCAGAGGCAATTTGCTCCGAAATGCTAATTTTTGGCAAGTAGGCGTCTTGGACGTTGTTCTTTCAGAATATCTTGACAAATCCCATAATTTCACAAATTTAATTTTTATGACATCATCACTTTAGAACTCTGTTAACCATATGGAATGATATACTTTATTTTGGCAGAAAAGGAATTTGCACATCAAAATTTACAGTTATAATGTGGGAGCAACTTCAGAATACCTAGCCACAAATGTTTGTGTTTAATGTACTGCTATCATGGTCTGCAGTGGGTGAAAAGGAAATTGGTGTGCAAAATGTACTGCTACTGAGGTCCATAGTCCCGTAGACAATGAATTTAAAATTGACTAAGTGTGTAAATGTATTGTGACCACAGTCTGTAGACACGTCAGTGAATTTGAAATTGACTAAGCGGGGTAAATTACTGCTACCATGGTCTGTAGTCCCATAGTCGGTGAATTTGAAATTAACTAAATACATAAATTTACTGCTACTGCGGTTGGAGTAGTTTGTCTGATGAACTTTGCCAAATTTTGAACTCATGCTATCCCATACTTCATGTCATCTAACATAATGCCAATATCTTTGCTACCGGTATATTTCAAGATCTCCTCTGTCCTGTAATGCTTGGGGGGATGGGCACCCTTGGAATTGACTGAGCCATTCAGAGTGGTAGCAGGAGTTGCTGGGGAACATTTCAGTGACCAGGTATTCTGCAGTTTTGCCATAATGGGAGCATATGTGATGACTGTGATGTTAGTCTAAATTTCTTGATCAAACGTCGCTTATTAATAAGTTTGTGAATGGTAGCCCGGCCTTTTTAAACTACAAAAAAGACTCATAGGCCGCAAAATGTTCTACTCGCCAATAAGATATAACTTGTGGCGTCTTCAAATGAAGTCGTCACTATTTATAACACTTCAGAGTAAAGACTTGCTTATGATGATTCATGGTACGAGGCCAGTCGTGGATTGTGTCGATCTCGATGATATCTAAGGCTATTGTTTATTTCCTCTTTCACTTACTTGGTAATAATAGCCGCTGGTTTTTGAACCACTGGCTGTTCATCTTCACTAGCCGAGGACTCACTCTCTGAGCTTCCGGCGGCGAAAAACTTTGACTCCGCCATTTTATCACAGTCACAAGAAAGACCTCGAGAACAAAATGGCGGCCCACGTGTCTGGTGTTGAGCCCTTCATGTAATTAGGCCAGCGGAAAAAAGATTACGATAGATACTTCATATATGATTCCTATAGTATATCGAGATCTCGGTACACTATAGGAATCATATATGAATTACCTACCGGTGCTTAGTGCCAGTCTTCTCTATGAAGTATAACAAACTCACGTGGATCGTGGAATTGAAAGTTACAACACCGTAAACGATGGGAAAGAAAACCAAGGTTGGAAAGCAAAGAAAGGATAAATTTTACCATCTTGCCAAAGAAACAGGTACTAGATGTCACTTTTTGGTTCTATTGCCAATACAGACATCTAAAATCAGTTCGCTTATGTTCAGAAATGGAAATATGTTCAGAAGTTGAATTCACTGCACACTCTTATCTCACAAAACTAATATTCAGTGTATTTCGAATTTGAGCCAAATTCCTCACATTTTCTTGTTGATTTCAATACAGGTTATCGTTCTCGGTCAGCTTTCAAGCTCATCCAGTTGAATAGAAAATTTAACTTCTTACAGACTTCAAGATGTTTGATCGACCTGTGTGCTGCACCTGGAGGATGGTAATAAGCTTAAAACTTCAAGGCAAAATTTTACTCTTTAGCCGTCCCGATATTCTAAATATACATAGGGGAATTTGATTAACACTATATCTACAATAGCTTTAGTGAAAAAGGTACAGTTTGTACGAAGTCTAGTATATTTTGACCACCATTTCTCCACCCAACTGTACCACCTGATCAGCTGGCGCCAGTTGTTTAAAGCTGGATAGGGCTATTCACTGGATAAGTTTCCCTAATACTGATCCACTGAATAGTGATTTATCTGGTGGATAGTACCATCCATCTTTTGAACAACTACATGCATGTAGGGCCTGATGATCTTGGTACGGCTACCTATCAGCTCACAGATGGTGAGAAGTGAAAAGTCCTTGTTTATTGGTATAAAATCACCAGACAGTGCTGTTTTAAAAATATATTTGAAAAAAAAAACTATTGCAAATTAAAAAATTGCAGTAGAATACAAGTAGAACACATGCACTAATATTAGAAGGCTTGCCATCATTTTCTATCAGATGACTGTTGATTTTTTTCCCTATTGTATACTGTCGGCTAATAGATATCTTGAAACTTCGTCTTTTCATTGCCTTATTAAATATAATTAATTTTGGTTAAATCAAATGATGTTTTTACCGATTTTCTTCCACTTTTTCCTCAAGGCTCCAAGTTGCTTCAAAATTTATGCCTGTGTCAAGTGTAATAGTAGGTAAGCAGCTGAACTGTAGTAATCTCTCTAATAGACCAATTATTCCAATATATTAAAATTCATACTTGGCTGAGAGGCTTGTGGGAATAAAACAAAAGAAATCATCTTGAGACTCAGCAATGAACATTTCTTTTGTTTTATTCCCCCCAAGCCTCGGAACCAAGCATGAATTTTGATATATCAAAAGTGGTCAATTCAACAACATGGAAACAAGTGTTTGCATTACAGATATATTAATTGCTATTGGGTGGAGCTGGATTAAATGAAGTTAAATATCTTCTTGGACAAAACTGGTCATAATAGCCCATAATAGACTATAGGGACTAAGGTCATAGGTTTGACCTTTGTTGAAAAAACTCTTTTTCTTTTTTTGAGTTGCCTGTACAAAGGTCAAGGAAATTAATTGTCATACTACCTTTTTCTATGTATATACTTAAAATTTAAGTTATTGAATTAAGTTATTAAGTTAAGTTATTTTTTATTATACTAGGCTAGAGGTTTGTTAGTTGAAAGAAACATCATCCATTCCATGTATGTAGTGAAATGCTGGCCAAAAAGTGTATTTTGGTGCCTGTCGGGAGTAAATAAACTATTAAACAAAACAAACAAAAAGGATGCTTTATTCATTATGCATTTATTGTTCTGTAACTAATTATAAATGTGATTTTATCTTCATTTAAAGGTGTTGACTTGGTTTCGATTAAGCCTATCCATAATGTCATCACTCTTCAAGAGGATATTACGACAGATAGATGTAGACAGGTATTAAAATGCATTATAATAATATCATAAATCTAACTTAATTGTGTAACTGTAAGCTGCTGGTACCATACAAATCCATCATGGCAGTTTGGCCGATCTTAATGCAAAAATTAATGTTCTTCTTCTTCAGACTTCCCTTTTTTAGATCTAGAGACACAATAACCTGAACATTCTTTTTACGCTTGGAAAAATGTTAGAGTAAAGATTTTTGTTGGAGGCAGTAAAGTAATGCAGAAGTAATTAAAGGGGAAGATGATGTTGTATATATCAAGCAAGTAGTATTTCTGAACTTATTTACAGACATACTTTGAAATTAATTAAGTTTCTTTCCATTTCCAGCTGATAAATAAAGAGCTTCATACTTGGAAAGCAGACTGTGTGCTTAATGATGGTGCCCCAAATGTTGGCTCAGCATGGATACAAGATGCTTTCACCCAAGGTATGTTTATGAAAAAGCCTTTTTTCAAGAAAAAATTGAAGTAGATGTTTGATATATAATCTGCCGCCCCCCCCCAACCCCTTAGCAGGAATCAAACCCATGACCTTCCAGTTACTGATTGGACAGTCTCACCACTGAGCTATGGGTGATACACACGGTGAGGAGGGCACAGGATTAGATGAGAATGAATAAAGTACAACCAAGCTTGTGTTGTGGTGGTTTTAATATTTAACACATTACATTTCATCTCGAATTTTTAAGGCTCAAAAATTCTGCATGGGATTTTTTGGTGGTTAATCTTTGGTCCAGGGATCATCCCCATCACTTGAAATCCAGAGTACCCCCCTGCCCAGGGCTTTGTCAAGCATTCATCCCCCACATGAGGAACACGTGACGAAGCCCTAAGAACGTAAATGTCTAGTATGGGAGGCTACATGGTTGTACATGTATGTACATTGTAGGCTGTAACGTATAAATTGACAAATTTTTATATATGTGTGGTAACAAATTTGTGTTCTGGTGTAATTTTACCCAGCTCAGCTGACCCTCAGTGCTCTCAAGTTAGCTTGTGATTTCTTGCAAGAAGGGGGATGGTTTATTACCAAGGTGAGCTAATGTAAAATAATGTATAACCAAATATTTCTATCAAGTTATTCCATGTGTACAGTACTGTAATAGTCACTGATAGCAAGTATTACCCTTCCTAGATCTCGGTTTTCAGGTGTAAATAACTGCTAGTAAAAAACATTCAGCTGTACATGTATGGTCTGTCAATAGGTATTTCGGTCTAAAGATTATCAGCCACTGCTGTGGGTGTTTCAGCAACTGTTCAAGAAAGTCCACTCTACAAAGCCACAAGCATCAAGATCAGAATCTGCGGAGATTTTTTGTTGTTTGCCAGGTATGGTACCTTAACAAAATTTGTGAAAAAACAAAATGATAACAGCTAGTTGACTTTTTGACCTTCAGAATTTGCGTGTTTTTGAAAGGCACAGTAAAGTTGGTGTCAGCCCCTTATAATATATTGCTTTGATTTTTAAAAGGGTTATATAGCTCCAGCCAAGATTGATCCCAAGTTGTTGGATCCAAGACACATCTTCAAAGACGTTGAACCTGAAGGAAAGAAGAAAATCAGCATTTTGCAAGTAGAGGTAAATGTACATTATTTAGTTAATGCAGTTGTACCAAATTGCCCATCCCTTTAGTTACATAACTTGTACATGTTGGTATTCTATCTCAGTTGTAACTACTTCAATTTTATAGTACATGTATTTTGAGCTGTAAGTATATAAAATATTTCTTGGCTGAATTATTTTGGTCTTTCTGCATTTTTGTCTGAGTCCACAAATTAAACTATGATGAGGCTGTACAAAAGAAACCTTTTTTTAAAAAAAAAAATTGTTAGAATTTTCCATTAAATTTTTTTTTTCAAAAAAGGGGCAAAAAGCTGTATAATTAATTTTACATTCATTCACTTGAACTGTTAGATGTGAATGTTTCATTTCTTTTTTATTTATAAATTATTTTTCAGAAACAGAAAAAAGCACGTGCTGAGGGTTATGAGGAAGGTGACTACACTCTCTTCAGATCAGCCACAGTTTCTGAGTTTCTTCAAACGCAGCATCCTTTAGAGGTGCTGAGTGCAGTGAATGAGGTATGTTTTTTGTGCATGTGTTTACAATAATATTAGTTTTGCAAGCAGTTTTGCTTGTAGTAACATGTATGTTTGCATGTACACCTCATTGTATGTAAATATTTTATTTCTTTATTGCTATTTTTATATATATTTTATTCTAAGGAAGAAAATTTTCTTGACAATGTCCAGAGCAGAAACACAATCTTTTTGATAAACTGTGGCACTCATGTTCCCTTGCTAAAGGTGCCTGGTTAGTGTACAGTGGAGGTACTCCCCTCACTAAGGAGGTAATGGTAGTGGTGGTGGTACCCTTTATTGAAGGTGTATGTATAATTATTGTAGGGGTGGTATGAGTGTACTTTTCTAGAGGTGTCTGTTTAGTTATGTGTACACAGTGATTACAGTACCCTTACACTAGGTATCCATTCCTTTACTGTTTCTGCCTGTATAGTGCAGGTAGTGGTGATGGTACATGTATTCCTTTGATGGAGGTGTCCACATATGATTTAATTGTTCCTCATTAGTTGAAAGTGTCCTTTAGCTGACTGTATTTCTAGTCAATAACATCATGACTTAACTGACAAATGGCCAATGATGTCACAACTTAATAGGCCAATCAAGTCAATAACCAGACCTTAATATTTATTAACCATCAACTCATGTGATACAAATCACTTTGGCTCTCAAGATGACTACCACACAGGTAGTCGAAATGTCAGTCACAGTCAACAACAGTCCTTTTCAGTACTACACTCACTCAGACAATCATATTCCACCTACTTATGTCTTTTACCTGGTGTAAGATTTTTTTTGTCTTGATAATTTGCTTCTTCATTTTCATGACCTTAGATTATATTTGATGACAAGAAGTATACAGAACACAATCTGACAACAGTGGAGGTCAAAGAAGCTTGCAAAGACATAAAAGTTCTAGGCAAATCAGATATAAAGTGAGTTTAACAAAATTGTTGTGCATTTCAATAGTTTTGACACATATAATGTCCAAAGAGAGCTTAAGGATAAAAGGTAATTTATTTTGTTTCATAAAAAATGTGACATCTCTAGCTGCTTAATTGACTACGTAATGAATACACTGTATTATCTTGCAGGTACTGGTAACATTTTGTTCTCAGTTTGAAACATTGTGAAACTTGTTTGGTTATTTTAATGTAATGTAACAAATAGAGAGATCAGAGGTATAACATTTACACTGTACCTTGTTTAATCATATACAGGAATCTTTTAACTTGGCACAAAGCTTTGCAGAAAGAATTTTTTGGAGATGATTCTAAGGCTGACAGGTTTGTAGACAAAATGCAAAGAAAATTCCTTAGATTTTATGTGTATCTAGTTTATTTTGTGAAATTATCTGCTTATTGTTTCCCTCTTAACCTTTATCAACAGGGTCCAAGACACTGAAGAATTCAAAGAGACTGAGGAGGTTAGATGTAATGAATTAATGTTGGACCACTTCTATATGGACAAATTTTTATTTAGTACAAACAGTAACAACTGTTGTATTGGTCCCAAAGATAACAAATTTCATGCTACCCCTACTTCCTGGACATCTCTGTATTTGTGGACACTGGTTGCTGACCCTTTAGTGTCACTTTTTTGGCAGAACTTTTGCACGGTGGTATTTACAAGTATTTCTTAGGACTTTACAACAAGAAATTTGGAATGTTTGCAATTTTTTTTTACATTAGCCTTTCTATGAGAGATTCAAGGAGGTCCAATTGTGATCATGATCAAATGAAACTGTGATGCAAATTATAGTTATTATAATAAGCTCATTGAATTAGTACCTACCGTATTTACCCGTGTATAATGCGCACTTTTTTTCCCTGAAATCGACCTTTAAATTTACGATGCGTATTATACACGGATTCCATTGTTTGGTCAAGAAAACAAAAGAAGACAAAAACTTTGCAGTAATTGGTGTTTAATAAACGCAGTAAAGTAAACTACCAATGAACTGTTTTCAATTTCGATCCATGAATAAATTAAAATGCCTATTTAAGAAACAGCTGATCGAGGAAAACAACATGTGAGATTGTCACTATAGCGATCATGGCTACGAAACTTACCACTGTGAAACGTCAAAGTTACACTGTGTCCGAGAAGTTACGAATAATTCAGTTTGCAGAGCAACATGGCAATCGTGCTGCCGAGCGTGAGTTTGGTGTTTCCGAGAGTAACGTCAGACTCTGGCGAAAAAGTAAAGAAAACCTCGAGAAGATGCCTCGACTGAAGCGTGCTAACCGCGGAAAGAAAGCTGCATGGCCGGAGTTGGAGGTCGATCTGCTGGCTTGGATTACCGAGAAAAGAAATAACGGTCTTGCCATTCTGCCATCCATTGTGCGACTGAAAGCCCTCGAACTAGCCAAGAACGAGAAGTACGGAATTCCTGAAGGACATTTCAAAGCTGGCAATCACTGGTGTCAGCGCTTCATGAAGAGGAACGGTCTGTCACATCGACAGAAAACAGCATTAGCACAACGTCTGCCAGATGATTACGAGGAGAAGATCGTCCGATTTCATCGCTACATCATTGATCGCCGTAAAGAACACAACTTCCCACTGCATCTCATCGCCAACATGGACGAAACTCCATTGACCTTCGACATGCCACCGAATCGTACTGTAAACAACACCGGCGAGAAAACCATCAAAATACGTACCACGGGGAATGAGAAGAATCGAGTAACAGTTGTGTTGGCGTGCTGCGGCGATGGATCAAAACTGAAACCGATGTTAATCTTCAAGAGGAAAACCATCCCTAAGATCAACAACAAGCATGGAGTCGTTGTTTCAGCCCAACAGAAAGGATGGATGGATTCAGAGCAGATGAAAGTGTGGATCGAAAAAGTATGGCGTGCACGGATCGGTGGCCTGGGGAGAAGAAAGAGCTTGCTTGTTTACGACGCATTTGAAGCTCACGTGACAGATACTGTGAAAGCGTCCTTCAAACGCGAGAACACTGAACTTGCTGTTATTCCTGGCGGGTTAACCTCCCTTCTCCAACCGCTCGATGTATCTTTAAACAAACCGTTTAAAGATGGAGTCCGAAAGCACTGGATGCAGTGGATGGCTGACGGAATTCACGAATTTACCGCCACTGGACGACAAAAGAAGGCTTCGGAGGAACTGATCTGTTCGTGGATTTCGCAAGCATGGAATGCCATTCCATCAGAAATGATCGCTGCCTCTTTTCTGAAGTGTGGCATCACAAACAATTTGGATGGATCAGAAGATGAATTGGTTTACAATTCAACCGAGAACACTCATGAACTTGATGATTCAAGCGTCGAAAACCTATTTGAATCAGACTCTGAGTCAGAATTTGAAGGTTTCGCTGTTTAGGAATGCGTTGTTTAAAGACACTGAACATTTTACTTGAATCGAATGCAATAGTAATGATACTCAAGCTACCAGCAGAGCTGTGAGGAGAAATACCGGTACTGTTTATGAATTGCTGTTATTAAATTTTATAAGTTTAAGTATACTAGGTAATAGGGACTTCAAGTTACAAGATTTGTAAAACGTTTCACTTTTGTTAAATAGAAAGGCGTGTAAATAGGTGCTCGGTGCATGCGATATTTGTAGTTTAAGTAAGTAAGTAAGTAAACATGTAAACATGTCATTAATGAACTCCCAGCTCTTGTTAATTAAATGGAAACATGGAAGTTTTAATTCTTGGTGTTTATCTTGAAATTTTTTTTTTTTTAGAATAAGGTGGTCAAAAGTTAGGGTGCGTATTATACACGGGCGCGCATTATACACGGGTAAATACGGTAACTGGAATCAGTTTAGGCTTTCACTAGAAATAAAATGCATTATAGTTTGGCTTTGACTCCAGATTGCTCCAAACATATTCCTGAACAGTCTCCCTTAAATGTTGACAATAATTATCATTGCTTTTTAGGAAAGTCTTGAGAAGACCATTCAAGGGCTAAAAGAAGAAGAAGCCGCACTTATTAAAAGGTACTAACATATGTAGATTTTATTAATTTTTGTTTCACATTTTGTGCACTGAGATTGGGTAGTAATTCTGACACATTGTTTTGTATAGAAATGGGTATAGCAGTCTCTAAAGAGCATATGTTGAACAACCTTGAAAAAGATAGAAGTAAAAATAAGAAAATTATAACCAGAAGAGAGAAAACAAGAAATCTGTGTTCACCTTAATGTTAGGAGAAGTGTCTGAACTGATATCCAAACACTGAGGAGTGTATTGAGTTGCAAAAGAAATTAACGCAGCGGTGAACCAAAAGAACCGTGTGTTATTTATCAGTCACATAAACCTGGGTAACAATAGATATTTATGAACTGAAAAGTGTTTTTTAACAAGTCGGTGTTTCTCAAGCAATCTTTGAGATATCTGACATAGCTCTCCAAAATTAATAATCACTATTTCTTGAACAAATCTTGATGATAATTTACATCAACTTCCCTTTCCCTGATGTAAATTTAACCTTGTGGATGCTATGCCTTGTCCAGATTTTTTTTTGTTATATCGTAATCGTTTGTATTCCTTGTTTCCAGACAAAAGAGGAAAGTTCAGCAACAAAGGCAAAAATTGCAGGAGAAAATGAGACTTAAAATGATTTTGCCAGGAGATACAAGAGAAGTGGAGACTGATATGGAAGTGTTTTCTCTTGCAAATATCAAAAGTAAACAGGTATTAACTGCAAAAGTAACAATGTATGTGCGTTAAACAAAATGCGCAGCGATGTTCCTCGTGTTTTACAACAATTGTTATGGGCACAACTGTCTAAACTAAAGGGCTTTTTTACCTTATGTTATTCGAGTGGTAGAAAATTTCCTTACATACCAAATTTTGCAATCTCTTAGCATCTTGAGAACGTAGATGAGGCAAAAACTGATGAACTGTACTTGGAAGATGATAAAGAAGAAAGCAGCGAAGAATTGGAGATGCAGTCTGGCTCAGAAGAAGATGACAATAGCGATGAAGAGCTGGGCAACCACGATGATAGTGAGGACGATGAAGAATTAAAATTTGACGAAGTTGGAACAAAATCAAACATTGAAAACCAACAGAGGTTGTATTATCTGATCACTTATATATACACTGTATTTAAGCCCTTGCAGTTCCAGGGTAGACCAGAATAGAGCTCTAATCTGACCCACTTAAGCGCTATATGTGATCCAAGTCACATATAGCCCCTGCTAAGTGGAGACATTTTGCTAAAAATCAGAACGCCTTACCATTAGTTACAGAAATGAAAAATAATCTTCCTTAAACTCGGCATGCAGTGTTTATAGCTTAATGGCCGTGCAAAAAGCTGGAAGAAAAAAATTGAAGCAAAACGTAATAAGTTATGAAGTTGCAGTTGTTAGAAGGCAGACAGATTGACGTGCATACATACATACACTCTTTACAGGTAGCCATTACAACACTGAACGAGGATCTCGAGGGTATCCGTATATTAAGATCTCTCCTTAACTTGACTTGATCGTCAGTTCTTTTTCATCGACAGGGAGAAGAATCCGCTCTTAGTAGATCTGGAACCTGAGGTTCCTCTCACAGCCAAAGCAAATATGTGGTTTGAAAAAGTGAGTTATTGTTCTACAGTATCTTAGTTTTTATGATTATTACAACTAAAATCACGGATTGTGTGAGTGCCTTGCGGTCCAACTCGCGAAGAAGTGTCTTTTTAGCGCTAATCATATAATACGGTATTTTTCAGGATGTGTTCAAAGGTTTAGAAGACGAAGCGGATGAAGACCTGGAGATTTCTCAGATGGTAGAAGAATACAAAAAGAAAGGAGGAACTATTCTAGGTTGGTTACTACCGTTTTTTTCTTCTGTAACGAAGTACCGGTAGGAAAAAAGTTACCATCTCACTTAAGGAAAACGGCGTTTAAACGCTTTGTGTCGCTAGTCGGAGAGAAGGAATCTTGGATAGAAGTCATCCTTTATGTGGGCTTAAATATCAATTGCTTTATTTTTTTTTTAAAATTTTATTGTGTTTCAACACCATATATGGGTTGAGTTTGTTGTTGACTCCCATACTTGCTACAAGAGGTTTTCCTCCTGGCTAAGTTGTTCAAAGCTGGGTTAAGATAACCCAGGGTTAGTGCGAATTTTGAATTCAGAAATAAATGCTAAAAAGCAAATTCAGTTTAATTCTTTTGGTCTGCATTTTGGTGACTGGATGCTCCAAAAAGAAAAAGAACCCCGGATTAAAATTTAACCCCAGGTTAGCGCTAATCGTCCTTCAAACAACTGGGTCCTGCAGGTGCTAAGGTTTTCACCTCTCCTCAATACCCAACATATTTATTTGTTTATTTTTTTTTTATTGTTTTGCCACAGAAAGGAAATCGGAATCGACTCCTGCTGATCAACAAAGAGGAACAAAGCGGGGAGGAAGCAATAAAACAACCAAAGATGCGAAAAAAGTGCGCTGGAGAAACGATAAAGAGAGCAGTGACGAAGAAAGCGATAGCACTGTTGATAGTGAAGATGAAATCTCGCTAAATAAAACAAAACAAAAGAAAAAAGAAACTCAAAACACCAAACAAAAGGATTTTGAGGTCGTTCCAATAGAGGACAACAGTAAGTATATTTTTTTGAGTAAATGTGCCACAATGTTTTACCCTGTGTAAGGAAATTGGGATTCCGGAATCCGGGAAATTTTTGCCTGTGGAATCCAGAATTGGAGAAAATTTTCTTATGGAATCCGAAATCCTGGACTTTGGAATCCAGAAGACAGCTCGAGGAATCCACAATTCCACTAACAATGGGAATCCAGAATCCAAGTTCTACTGACAAAGACTAGCATTCAGTACCTGGAATCTGGAATCCATAGCGTGGAATCCAGAATCCAAGACTGTCTTAGATTCCCTAACATGGGGCGAAATGTTACGGTAATCATTTCAGTTGGAAATGTCTTTAAAATAAGTGGCGATCATTTACTTATTTTGTTTCGTTTAACAGGTAAATATTTAAAAAACTTGACTCCTGAAACTTTGGCATTGGGACACAAGATGGCTTTTTCGCGAAAAAACAAAAGGGATATCATCGACAGTGGTTATCACAGGTGATTTAGTTAATAACAGAGTACACTGGAAACCTGAATCTTCTAAATTTTTTATCGTCGGTCACAAACCACAAATTACAGGGGCGGATCCAGGAATTTTTTATTGGGGGTTAGGGGTACAATCTTTGAATCCGAAAACACTGTTTTACCGGTGTTTATGGCAAATTAATTCAACCCCCATACTACGGTCTCCCGGCTTGACTAGTTTTTATCCGTTGAAAGAACGAGGCTATAGGTCAAGTTGTCGCCATATCGACTGTTTTTGAGGGGCGAGCAAATGTTTCTGTTAACGCCGGGCAGATACTACTGCTTTGCGAGCTGATACGAGCAGACCATTAGAGGATACCCTCCCAAAATTACATGTTTGAATATGCCTGAAATTTAATTGTTCCAAAATGTACCGCGTGTTTTAATAAATTAAAAGGTCAACCTGTTGAATCGTGTGATAAAGGATCTTATCGATGCATACCCTTCGAGCACAGGTTTGTCTCTTGCATGGCTTTTACCGTTTACGAAGTCGTTAGCGACGCTTGTCTGTCGCTCGAACGACTTCGTAAACGCTAAAAACCGTGAAAAAGAGAAACCTCTGCTCGTAGGGTAGTCGATGCAAGAATTTCAGTGACAAGTAGTAAAAAACAACCGCGAAACTGTTGGGGGGGAAGGTGGAGTTCCGGATCCCCCTCCTCTCTACGAATTGTCAATGACTAATTTTGTCTTTAGATGGGCATTCAATGATGCAAATCTTCCTGATTGGTTCATGGAGGACGAAGCGAAACATTACCAGAGGCAGCTTCCGGTTTCCAAAGAGATGGTTGCGGAATACAGAGCAAGAATGAAAGAAATAAACGCCAGACCAGTGAAAAAGATCGCAGAAGCAAAAGCAAGGAAAAAACGAAAGGTAAAAAAGCTATTGTTTGTGACGAAACAGGTTAAGTGCAGCGGGACACGAAAACGAGTGTGCGGGAAACCTGACTAGGGGACTGTTTCTTGAAACTGTCGACTTTTTGGAACGAAAAAACCTCTTTTGTGAGCATGATACTTTCAACAATTTGAATTGAAAATGATCCAAATTGTTTTGATAATGAGATTATTAAACGAAGCAAGTTCGTGTTTTTCGTGTTTTTACGGGCTCGTAAAGTTATCGGGGCCATAAAAGAAATGCTGAAGTTGTGGAAACTTGGGGCGTTGAAGCGAGGAAGATAAAAGGGGGACCTCCTCCCACTAATTATGAGCTAGATAAATTATGAGGAAATTTTTAGGAATACTACACCTGGTTGGGTGATAAATGGAAAGGCAATTCTTGACGATTCAACAGCTGCAATGTTAAGAAGAAACGAGTCAGTAGTCGTGGTGTAGATTACTTGACCGACTATGTTCATCACGGCAGCACAAACCCCAAAATACACTTATTCGCAAGAAACCGCTTATTATGCCGGTTTTGGGATTTGTTATTGACGTTATTGCGATAAACCTATTTTGTTAGGAGATGAAACGACTTGAGAAGGCACGTAAAAAGCAGAGGCTATTTGCGATACAGTTGATGTGTCAGAAAAAGAAAAAAATGAACCAAATAAGAAGGTAGGTATTAAGATAAAAAATTAGGCCTTCTCTTTTCTGTTGCTGCAGATTACGATCAAACATCCAACTACGGTTAATGTCATAAGATTTTATGGTTGAAAATTTGTTTTGACTATTGACGTTATGATGTCTAACTGTGTCAGATTCTTCGTGCCCCCCTACCCCAATTTTTTTTGGGAAATTTTACTTAAAAGAAGACTTAATTTTGAAGGAATATTTGGGCGAGTGAAGCGAGGCTCGCGAGAACGCGCGAGCGAGCGGTGAAGCCGCTTCGCTTGCCCAAATAGGAGAGCTTGCTCGCAGGCTAGGATACCCGATGCCCCCCCATAGGAGTGGGCCTCCAGAAAAACGTCTGCGTGAGTACTCCACCAGCTCTGATAGCCTTCGTGGCCTCTCACCTTCAAACGTGTTCCAACGGGCCTGGCGTGAATGAAAAAAGGTCATTATATTCTTGGTTTGCAACCATGTGACATGGCTTTCATGTTGGTTAACAGAAGAATGGTACTTTTTTTTTTCTTTGAATAAAGGTTTGAGTTCCTAGTAGAGGGAATAGCTTGTGTTCTTGACAACCAACATGGCCACCTTGAAGTCAGCTGTAAAACAGCAATAGAGCCCTTTATCTCTATTTTAATAGACCATTGTCTGGTTCTGTAGGTAATTGTAGTTTTCTTCTGTTCTCTTTTCAGTTTGTATAAAAAGGCTGCTCTAAAAGGCAAACCCAAAGAGGTGAAGTACGTTGTCGCCAAGAAAAGCCAGGGTAAGAAGTTTTTTTCTATTTCCTAACTATGAACGGCATTATTTTGTTCGCAACTTTTCGCTGACAGTTTTTAATTCAAAATTTTGTTTGGTTTGTTAGACTTAACTTATTTATAGCACAAAAAATATAGCAGTATTGTGGTCGAACTCCATCGTCAAATCTGTCCTTCAAAGCACTGGACTTGAACTTCTATACCCGCGCTACGCTCCTTTTATATTTTTTTTATTTTATTTTATGAGGGGAGGAGAGGGAAAGAGATACAGGAGAGGGCATGATCGGCTAACTGTGGATCGTGACACGATCTAAGTATTTGCATGCCTTCGGTAAACACAGGGCAGTGTACTCCTGATTGGAAAGATAAAACAAAACTCCTTTGTTTTTTTTCGTGTGCACTTTACGCTTGTTTTACTGCGTTCAACAATCAGCAGCAACATGTACTAAAATACAGAAGAACACTAATCTTTTCGAAGTGGGACTCAGGGTAACTGAAACAAGGGCAGCGTCTTTGTTGCGCTGAACTAGATGTAGACAACTTTTGACTCCATATTTACTTGAAAATTTTGACACCGACTTAACGCGAAAAGAAAGAATTTTAAGGCACGAACTTGTGTGACACTCCTGGCCACACTTCCACGTGGCAAATTCAGAATACAAAACAGCAGCAATGTTACCTGTAAAAACTTTATATAAAATCTGAACTTTATCTAAGCTTTTTGTTTCTTTTTCAGCTGCAAAGCGAATGAAGAGACCCGCGGGAGTGAAAGGCCCTTATAAGATTGTTGACCAACGGATGAAGAAAGATTTAAGAAGCCAAAGGGCGAAAGATAAAAGAAACAAACGGAGTGGAAAGAAAAGCAGATGATACATAATCATAACATAATTCTAGTTATTTATTTCCTCATTCGTATGTTGCAGGTATGTGTATAATAATCTAATTCGTTGACCAAAGTAATTCTTCATTCGGCAAAAAGGTCAAGAAACACTGGCAGTTCTTCGTATGATTAAGGAGACTGATGTATTTTTTCTAATAGTGAATACAGTGTAAAATATCAAAACATCTACGCGCAGCCGGAGCGCGCGCAGCTACAAGGTGGTCGAAGTTTGAAAGTTTTACGCTAAACTTTAAAAGTTATAACGTTTGCTATATTTTGAAAATAAATACAGCGATACATACCTTGAAATAGTCTATGTCAAGATTGACCAAAGGTTATAATAAAATAATTCATAGCCTTATAAAGTTGGAAAGTTTTGGTAGTTTTACTTAATTTCTCTATCAGTTATAAAAATCCCGTGCGCTAACCTTTCAGTCTATTTTCTGGATAATATTGTCTTACACAAGTCTTGTCCTTTGATTAAGGGTACGTTTTTTAAGTATATTCATAGAAGAGCCAGACTTAGTGTTATTTTTACTAATAGTACTAAGAATGAACTTGGGGAGATATTTTTCGTTGGGAGTAGGTTGAGAAAGTTGAGCAAACATTGTCTTCATTTTCTACAAGTGCATGAATCTCGTGCGAGATCAGGTAAAATATAGTTTTTCAAACTGTAGCCAGAGGACGCGAAGTCCCAAAAAAAGTTTCTGAAGGCAACTGAATATTTTAACTTCATTAAATCAATAGTCTAGCGGCAGATGTTCAAGTTCATTCTTCAGTCGAAATATTCTCTTGCGTCTACTCCTCTGTTGGAGAAGTTCTTGGCGAAGTTGTGAAACTTTAGTTTTTAGTAGAGTTATTCTTCTTTCCGCAGCCTCGGCCCGTGTAGTTGCTTCTTGAATATTCTCTTCTAAATTGTGTATATTATAAACGAAAATTTCTTCGCGTTTGTGAAACTGCTCCTCCT